CCGCGCCGTGCCCCGCCGCCCCCCGACCCCCCCACAGCCCACTGGCCGGCGCGCCCCGCTCCCGCCCGGCTCCTCTCCCCGCCGCTTCCCGCTATTACCATTCTCTCCGCGGGCGGTCGCAGCGGGGCTTCCTCGCCTCCCAGCGCCCCGAGGGGCCGGAGGGGAGCGACGGCGACGACCGCAGCGCTGCCCGCCGCCCGCCACCATCCCCATCCCCTCAGGAGCTCCGGCGAGCGGCTTCGTGGCGCACACCCTACCCCGCTGCTGGATGCCAGCGCCCGCTCCGTCCCGCCCCTCCCCCGCGCTCAGCCAATCAGAACACGCAGAGGCAGGCGTTGCTCCTTGCGACTGGTTCGCTCTCTCTCTTTCTTTTCTCTCCCTCTCTCTCTCTCTCTCTGTGGGACGGAGGGAATTTCCACTTTTTCCCCTACCAGCATGCTAGGTTGACTGGTAGCAATGAGTCGTTGGATTGGCTGGCCGGGCTCGTTCCTGTTGGATTAGTGGCTAAAAAGGGAAGAAAGGACCTCCCAATGCCTCCCGGTATGCGACGAGGTCGGCTGATTTGATTGGGCAAACCTTCCCAGGGCTCGCCTCCCTCCCTCCCTATTGGCTAAAACCGAAAGGGCGGAGGGAAAAGTGGGCGGGGCTCTAAGGGGCAAAACGTTACCCTCCCTACTCCTCCCTCGAGATGACGACATCGTTTAGAGAAGGGAGGGGCCATGTTTTTGTGCTGCTATTACATATTCGTCTGTAATCAGTCCTTAACATTATACTGTGGGATTTTGGGGGGGGGGAGGGGAGGAATGCTTTTCTTTCTATTATTTCTTCCAAAATAATAATTATTATTGTTGGTTGCACAGTCAGCCAGATATTTAGACTGGATTTGGCATTTTTATCCACCTATCGAGTCCTTCCCAAGGGGGGGGAGGGGAGGAATGCTTTTCTTTCTATTATTACTTCCAAAATAATAATTATTATTGTTGGTTGCACAGTCAGCCAGATATTTAGACTGGATTTGGCATTTTTATCCACCTATCGAGTCCTTCCCAAGGACCTGGGATGAAGATGAAGATGATGGAATCCGCACATGTATTATGCCAATGCATTACGACCTCCTAGGTTCTTGGGAAGGACTCGATGCAGAGGAAGGCCAACCTCGGCTAAAGAACTGGCAGTGCGATTTCACGTCGTCGTGCATACAATAAAAATTATCCTTTGATCGTTTGATCAGTGGCTGCGCCAAAATGACACAAACTGACTACAAGCAGCGTCACGACCGAGTTGCCAAAAGTATTCACTGGAAACCTTGCCAGAGGTTTGGATGTGAAGGTCGCAAGGACTCCTGGGACTGTCACGTTGAGGAGGTCTTGGAAAATGAGCGGGCTGAGACCGTGCGGGACTAAGATCCAAACAGGCCCCTTGTCCAAAACACGCCTGATGCAACAGTCATTGAAAAGAAGAAAGTCTGGTTCATCGATGTGGCTGTACCGGGCGATGCAAGGACTGAGGAAAAACAACTGGGAAAAATTACAAAATACCTGGACTTGCAGATCGTGACTGGAGCCCTTGGAGCAATACCTAAAGGAGGCCCTTAATATTTGGAAATTTTGAATTTATTGGACGGAACACCCTAATTTTACACACACACACACAAACCCACCCTGCTAGGAACTGCCTATATTCTCAGACATTACCTTAATAATTCTTAGGTCCTTTTTTTTTGGACAGGCCCCTTGTCCAAAACACGCCTGATGCAACAGTCATTGAAAAGAAGAAAGTCTGCTTCATCGATGTGGCTGTACCGGGCGATGCAAGGACTGAGGAAAAACAACTGGGAAAAATGAGGAAATACTGGGACCTGCAGATCGAAGCTGAACGCTTATGGAAAAAGGAATCCGCCGTTATACCAGTTGTGACTGGAGCCCTTGGAGCAATACCCAAAGGACTCCCTCAACATTTTGAATTTATCAGACCTGAACACCCTAATTTTGCAAAAAAACACCCTGCTAGGAACTGCCTATATTCCCAGACACCATTCAGACTGAAAAGACTATAACCATGGTTGTATCTCCTTTTGTGAATCTAGAGCAGTGTTTCTTAACCTTGGCAGCTTTAAGATGTTTGGACTTTGACTCCTG